CTATACTCTATACACAATCAAACAGCTATTCCTAGATTATTTCTCTTGGGACATCCCCTTTTTGTCGAGACATACTTTTATAATAATAAATGTACAATAATTCAAAACGATGATTCCAGCCTTCACTTGTGTCATCATGTATCATGTATCGACTTTCGACGAAGGAAAAAGTGAGATGGGAGAGAGACACCATAGAGTTTCTCTTAAGCCCGTATCAGACTACGCATTGAAGATTGAGATTGAAGATCGAAGATTGAAATTTAACCAATCAGGACAAAGAAATTTTAGTTCCTTTTGTTCTGATTAGTCAAATTCCAATCTTTAATCTTCAATCTTCAATCTTCAATTTTCAATGCGTAGTCTGATACGGGCATTACGCAACATGATTCTTTGTCCTCCGACGATATAACAAAAGAACGAGTTTCATGGGCGTTTGGCAAAATTCAATGGGCGATGACGACTACGACTATGGAAGAAGGGAGAAAACGAGAGGGGAGACCTTGGGAGTAGTAAGAAACGATTATTGTGATCACAGGCCACGGTAAGCAAACCGAGCGGAAAGGAAGATCGTAAAGAAGGAGTCCGACCTTCCTCGTGACGTTCTCACGAATGTATCGAATGAAAATGTTTCAATTACGTCATCAAGTATATTATCCTCTGAATATATTCCTCTGAATTAAGATCAGTTTATCGCAAAGAAAATGTTGCGCAGTTATGAGCGTGTATGAGTTTTTTAAGCAATTACGTGACTTATAGAAAAAAAATGATACTTCGGTGAAACGAGATACACGTATCTCTTTTCCTTTTATCTTTCTGAACACATTAATGCATGATTTCTCGTTTGTTGTTACAAGTGTGTTATTGTTTTTACTGCCAAGAGCTCGCTCAACGAAACTTTTTCATTCGTGTTTTCATTTTAGTAGTTATTTTTACACACAATGGAATTTTAAAAGCTAGAAAGATAAAAGAGAACTATGATTGCTACTGCTAATGATAATAAGATTAATTGCGATAACGATGAATGCAATGATTGGATGACTTTATCGATCGATAAATGAACACGACACAATGGTCGTTCTAGACATAGACAGAGAGTAACAAGAAATATGAACTATATAACTTTTGTGACAATGAAAATTCAAATAAATGTTATTGATAACGTGTAAAGATAAATCGATATTCGCGATCGAAAAATTATGACAGGTGCAAGCGAAGATATATGTAACACGTTAAATTACGGCGTTTATATACGACTGTTGGCTGTTGTCAACCTTGGGGTTTTCTTATCGTTATGAGTCAGTTACGTTTACGCGAAGACAATTCTATATACTAAAAGCTGACTCACACACGTGATTACACGTCTCTCTCTCTCTCTCTGTCTTTCTTTCGCTCCAAAATCAATTTACACAATACATTTATTGATTTAAAATAATTTAAATATTTAGAATATTTAGATGTTGCTAAAGGAGCCATTATAAGACGTTGAATCTTTAAATATTTAAAAGAGAAGTTTAAAACACACACATGCATGAATGACAATCATATGATCTCTCGCGGATCATGTGCTAACAAATTGCTTTTGTACCATCAATAACTATGCGACAAAACAGCGGTAGATGACATTCTTTATTTAAAGAGATCCTTTATTAAATATCTAAACATTTAATATTTTTTTACGGGATTACACTTCTTGCAAAATTCTCAGAAAATGTCAAGGTAATAATAATTTCGTTACTATTCTACCACAAGTAATCTTGCGATCTTATCCGCTCCGTGAACGCACGCAGACGGAAGCATATAAAAACTTAGAATGATCCTGTCAATAGCATGACAGTTGTAACGGTCACGCATACAGTCGTGGGTGGAACACGCGATTCACGCGTTTCAAGGTCGAAGGTACGCGAGATTAAGCAACAGCATCACCGACGAATTCGCGGAACGAGTCGGTAAAGAAATTTTACGAGAAACTTGTTATGTTTATATACAAAAAGTGGCATACTTTACATATTTTCACATGCGCGAAATTTACAGCGTTAGATGCACCATCGTTGAATTTCTATTGTTATATTCGAGCGTGATGTTCGTGTCGGAGAAATAAAGCGAGAGAACACACGGAGATGCCTATTTGTAATAGCTTTTATAGAGCTAAAAGTAGTCTCTGCAACTCGCGTAACCGAATCTCGAGGAACCTGAATTCTTCAGACAGTACGAACGAGTGGAACTTACGGCGAGTTTGCAGTCGTTAAAGAGACGGAGATAAAGGGCCTCGTGCAATGCAACCGTTTTACTTTCACGCGATAACATGTCATCCTCGAGTTAGACATTTTTATGCCGACAGTTATCGCTAAAAGCGGGACATAGATATGGCACGTGTTATCTCTGTAAGGTTATGATGCCACACAATGTCTCCCATGTCTCCCTTACCCTTTTTTTTTTCTGATACTTACCACAAAAATGAAGTTAAATATAAAGAGCAGGTATTTGATCATTCCCATTCCGCATCCCATCTTGATCGTTGATTTCTTAATTCAATGGCCAGAAGTAAAGGAATTTTGCGAGGACGCGCGCGCGCGATAAATCGAAATTCCGATCGGCGGCGGAACGGATTCACTCGCGACACACCACGACACGATTGGCGGTTCGAATTTAACTGAACTCTATTCAAGTGCTGCTTCGCGCGGCACCGTCACGACGATGACGCCCGAGTTTATCCGAAGTTAACCGAAAGTGCGATTTGTGATAAAAAAGCGCGCGCGCGTCCAGATTGCGCTAGATATCGTGGAATTCATTTTCGACGAATACATCGATAGAATATTGTCATTCATATTATCTTAGTATTGTGAAATGTTATAATCAATGTACAATATTGTTCCCACTTACAGTAATGCAATAATTTTCATATATCTCTAATTAATGAGACTGGAAATAATAATTGGAGAATTCTGACATGAATCGCCGATAATTAAATAATAATATCACAATACATATACAAGAATGATAAGATCTAGTAGCTGAGAGAAATACAATTTTAAGTTAATGTTATTTTAAATAATTAATGTTTAAATAATTAGGAAACATTTTAAGTAGAAATATCTGAAACACGAACAAGAAATTAAATAGAAATATGATATAATTATTTAATTTGATGAAACACACGCACAGAAATATTTATGTGGTATCATATTTATTATTTATTGTAATTGTATTTTAGATCAGAAAAATCTTGATATTCGAAATTTTTCTTGAGTTAATTTTAAATAGCACAATATTGTCTCAATCTAATCTGTCACAATCTCATTTGCCAAAAGTAGATGCCAAATTGTAATAAAAAAAATTTGATTATCGAAGTTTCGAATTAATTTGATATATTATATAAATTAAATTTTTAATTATACTTGTATAATTATAAAAAAAGAATAATTAGCACCAAATCTAAAATTTTTTATGCTTGTGAAAATAAAAGTTTTAAATTAAATATATAGAAAGAAATAATATCTTTATAAGTTTTTAAAGAGAGATAAATCGAAATATAGATATGACGTTATTGACGGAAATTTAGTCATCAGTATGACATGCTAAATGACGTCGCTCCAAAAATATGTGGTTGAACTTCATTTTCATTGTGCGAAATATTTCTTTAAGTGAAATAGATGAGAAATTTGTTGGAATGTAATACTGAGAAAATTATCTCAGTGAGATTTGTTTTGTCATATTCTATTTTTTTATTCATTTTTTGTAAATTATTTTTTAATATATAAATCATAGCTTTGTCTGTAAGGATAAGGAAAGATAAGTATCAATGGGTATTAAGTCGCCTACTAAAATATCAAAACATCTTACTCAAACACATTTTTCTTAAGAAAGATTGTACATTCACGCGTTCTTAGTATAAAATAGTTTCCATTTTCATATACCGCACAAATTACATTCTCAAAAATAAAAAAAAATTGCACATTTAGTATTAAGAACATAATGAAAAGAATTCGAAAAGGAATCAACAAAAAATATAAATAAAAAAGTATAAGATATATAAATATGAATAAAAGTAAAAGAAAAAGCTGCATTCGCACTAGTTTCCCGATTATTCCGATAACAAACTTATCTCTTCTGATTGCGTTTCGTTAGTTTATCTAATGTCAAGTGTTCTTAGATATTGTAAGATATACGAGAATGACGCGTATATACCGGGTGTCTATGTTACTCATGTCGTTGATTGTATAAAGCATTGCACGGTGCACTTGATTGCTTATGTAATGACTTTTGCATTACAAGATATCTTAAGTACAAAAACTAATTTAAAAAACGCAGACTTTGATATTATGCTCACTATACGTTAACAAACGGATGTTATATTTCTTGAACAAAATCATAATATTCGCAGTGGATTGACATTGCTAAATAAAATAAAAAATTAAAAAAATATAAAACTAAATTTAAAAAAGTCGATATGTTGGTCTACTATTAGAATATAACAGCAGTAATGATAGGTAAACAATAACTTGACGCTATTTTTCAACTGCGAATATTTCAGTGTTCTAAACCATAAAAAATCGGCGAGGTATTTTATTTAAGAAATTTAAGAAAGGCAGTAAGAATAAGTTGAAGAGGGTTAGCACCATTCAAAATAATATTTTTTCTTCCTTCATACAGAGAGTCCAAGAGTGAAAAATATTTTAGAGATAAATCTTTATGTAAGTAAATTAAATAATTTTTATTTTCGTTTGATTTTAACAAAAATTTCAATTGAGATTTACTTGTGAAAAAAATGAATGTCAAAAGTTGTAACGAATAACGCGATCTCGATATTATATCCGAAGAAAAATGGAGTCGCAAAAAATTCTTCAAAAAATAAAATATTTGCTAAAATATTTCTTGACAAATCTGGAATATTCTGTATGATAGGAGCAATATCAATATCACCTGTACCTGTACCTGTATCTGTATACTGTAGATATTGTCACCACGCGAAATGTATTTCGCATATCGCAGTGATGCAACATCCGTAAATGACACACACCTTCGTCCTTCGCGGTTCGCGACGTTGGCTAGGAATTGTCAGAATTGTGCAAATATTTTGATCGATGTGTTAGAAGGACGTCCTTAGTATCCGGCTCTTGCAAAGACGAACGCTTGGCTATTTCCGCTGCCTTTCTTCTATCCATCTTATCTTTGTAAATTCTGGCGTAGCAAGTCGTACACGCTATGAAAGAAACCTGGAATTGACACATCAATTGTATGATATATCGATTCGTGAAAAAAATTCCAAGAACGAGATTACGCACTTGTAACAGCACGGAACACAACGTAAGTAGAAAAACGTGAAGGAGGATCGATCTTGTCCGATTTAACACTACGTGCTGACATCCCCGCTTGTAAATAGTAGTACAAACGCCTTCAGTACCGTTGTCGTTCTCTAGGCTCGTCGTGTTGCAACACGACCAAGGAATCGCATCCATACCACGATAATCGGAAGGTCCGTCTATTCCGCAACAATGTAACTGAAATTAAATTTAATTAAATTTGTTACATCTTTTTTTAATTTCTCTCATTTCGTTTTATTTCATTAAAATTGTTTTATTATATTATGTTTATCAAACGTAAAATTTGTAGAAACAAATCTTTATAAAAGAAATGCGGGTGCTTCGGATAGCCGCGAAATATTATGATTATGTGCGTGTTTATTAAATATCGTACTTGTAAGAAAAAACTTAATATTCAAATATATGAAAAAATGAAATTTTTACTGTAGACTGCATATGATCCCAGGTAGATTTCTCATCCGTGATTGCGAGGGCAAAGATCTCATCGTATTGTGCGGATGGCAAGGTCTCCACTTGTTCGTGTCGTACCAAGGCCCAAATTCCGACACCGGTTTCGACCAGAGCGATAATCGATAATGCTATGGCAAACTGAACATGTGAAAAAAAATTAAGTATATTCGTATTTTTTCACCTAAAATTTAATTTCTATTTCTTTTTTCTTTTTTTTTAATGAACATCAAAGAGAGAAAGTGAGAAATCGGCTTACAATGATGACTTGGCCTCTGTTGGAAAAATTGAGAAATTGCCAGACGAACCAGCCGATCCCGCAGGTGATAACGCCCATGGCCAGCAAGGTGGCGGATGAGCCACACACGTTATCAGGTGTGACCGGCGCATATTCATGCAGCTGGTAGATGAAGTAACCGGCGAACACGCTTACGACCGCGCCGGAAATCTGTGAAAGAAATAAAAGACTTTTTGTAAACAATAATCATTCTTGATATTCATATTTTATACAGTATCTTTTATCAAAATATATATAATAATGACTCGAAAAAATATTTCTCGAAACTATCTATTTTAATCAATACTTGTCAATCATGCCGCGCGCGTGTATAAAAATAGACTTCAAGATAAAAAGCGGTTTTTCGAAATGATCACGTCGTTCCCTTCCCCGAAATGGCAAGGTAAAGTTACATGGATGATGTAAGCTGTTATAATGGGAGTCACTGATAAAGAGAGAAGACAAACTCTTATCTAGACAGGCGTAGTATATATAGTTTGATTAAAGTAAACTGCGTCACACATACTTCGCAATACTATCACGCTAATATCACGACGATTGCTATCTTAAATGAAAAAATAGGTGCAATTGTTGACAGGTGCCGATTATTAAACGGGAGATTTATCATGAAATAAATTTTAATATTCAAAAACATATATTTCAAGTAAATACATAAATAACATCTAAGTAATGCAAGTTAAAATTTATAGAAGAAGAAAAATCGATTATATTATTATTGTATTATCGCGAAAATGGTCGTTTTGTTTCAGCGATATTTTTACAATCACAACGGCATATAGTGTTAATTGAGGTCGTTCTGCAGTTGTTATAGTGTCTCCTTCAACTCTTATTGACTTCTATTAATCAATACATACATAGAATTAAGAAATCATGCGTTTTTGTAATTGAGAAATATCAAACGATGAAAGAATTGTTTTAAGAGCCAAAATTAACTTGACATAATTTGAAAGCCCCGAGTATTTTACAAATTATAATTTCGGATAGCGTATAAAAAAATTTACAATATCTATCTTTCTTTTTTAATGATTATAATTATATATCCATTAATTCTATAAACTGTGCGAATGTGTGTAAGTTTTGTATTTCGAAAACAATAATTATAGTTTTAAAAGTTGAGATTTAATTATAACAAGATACCTATAAACTAAAACGCGATTGTTTTCGTTTTAACAAGGAACAAAAAGTTTGCACTGTTTTTAAAATAAACAACTGGCTTATATAACAATTCCCATCAGAACTCTTAATAATTTAATCCTCTCTTTTCACATTCGTCCCAATAATATATATTTACTCGGTTACTCCCCAACACACCTAACATACGCAACATGCACATGTACCGATACTACCACCATAGGCAAATTATGAGCCGGATTGGCGCCGAGCACAAAAGCCACCAATTACATGCGACCTCGGAACAGCTGCAGCTGCGCGATCGATCATAATAATAGAAAGTCCGTCTAAATCCCGATCAGCTGATCGACAACACGGTGGACAACAACTGCGCGATGGGGACCGTTTCGTCCGATCATCCGGTCGAGATCCGATCCTCTTCACACACAATTGTCACTCGCGATGAGAGATCGCGAGAGGATGAAAATAACGATGCTAAACAATGACGGATTCGGTGAAACTTACGCCGAGAAGGATCGCACCGGCGATCAGGCAGTAGCGGAAGCAGACGAATGCCCGTTCGCCCATCGCGTTTATAAATAGTGCAATGCGACAGGCTGCTATTCGCACGCGAGCGTCCGATGTTGTTGCGTGTCCGTCGTCTCCACGGTGATCGGACGTTAAGTGGCCCTCGTTGGCACGCAGCAACGTGCGTGCAACGCGCGCTAAAAAGCGACGCGCGTTAACCAATCAACCGGCCGCTTTTCCGGAAGCAGATGTACCCACTATTTCCGGAAAAGCGGGAAAGTTGATTAGTCGCAGTGCGTCTTTTAAAAAAAAAATGCCAATGCGTTTATATATATTCATTTATTAACTCTTAAATAGACTTTTATTAAGAGAAATCATACTCTGTCAACTCTCTCGAGATTATATTATATTGCTTTCTTACATTTTCTTATGTTATCTTGTTATGCTATTTTGTGCACACAATTATTATTATTTTTATCTAATCTATCTGTCTAGAGAGAGAGAGAGAGAGAGAGAGAGAGAGAGAGAGAGAGAGAGAGAGTTATTTCTCTTTTATGTATATGCATACTTGATTCATTTCTTTACCTCATTTATTCATCCTTTCATTGTTGGCAGGTAAATAAGTTTCCATCAGGGTGGCTTTTTTATTTAGGAATTAAAATAATTCGATGATGTATTTGTATTAAATATGCGAACCTGATAAACAAGATGGTATGGATGAGTATTATGAAAATACAAAAAAAGAGAGACATTATGCTATGATATTATATGCACTCTCAAGTACAATTTAACTTTTGACTTTTGATTGCATATATTAGTGATCCTACTCGTACCTTATTATCAAGACTTTGTTCTTGATCGCAGGTGTAAAAATAAAATAAAATCAGCTGTGCCACATCGAAAGAATGTTGTCGCAGAAGGAGTATCGATATTATATTATATCGCAACATCGATATATCGATAACATCAGTCTATCGATACTATTATGCCACAGGTATTTATATATATGTATGTGCGTTCCTAACCATTAAAAATATAGTAAACTGACATAAAGCAGCGAACATAATAATAATCACTATTATTTTAGCTATGTCTAAGTTGATCAGTGAATTGTAATTAGCATATTTGTTTTAAAAAGTACAATTAATCAACATCCAGTTAGTATATATATATATACTGTTTGTAATAATTGTATTGACCGATGACAATTCGAAACTCTTCGATGTCCTTAACCTTACTCAATGTGTTAAAAATTTAGAGATGTAAAGGTGCTGAATAATATTTCGTAGAACTGGAAACAGTCTCAACAAAAAAAAAAAAAGAAAAAAAAACTCATATTTATTTGAAGACGTGTTTATTACAACACGTTTCTAAATATTATGATATTTAACGATCTTTTCTTCTATTTACATCTTTAAGGTCACTTTTCTGTTGTATTTAACATATAAAGTATATTACTCGCATCTATCGCGTTAAGCCTACAGTTCTGATGTTATAATAAAATGGAGATTCTGAAAGTTATCTCAATAATCTGTATCGTTATAATTATTATCAATGTAATTATCATTGGCAGATATATTTGGCGAAATGGCTGGACCATCCTCTGAACAGAGCGGTATTGCTCAGAAGACATGGGAATTAACGAATAACATTGAGACTATCAGCACCATGGATGAGATTTATAGATACGACAGGAAAGAACAACATGATATATTAACTGCCAAACCATGGGAGAAAGAGTAAGGATACTAATGACTTGAATACAAAAAAATTAGAAGAATTGACTATTCTCTGCCTTTCCTTCTTGTTTATAGTCCCCATTTCTTCAAAGACATAAAAATATCTGCATTAGCTTTATTAAAAATGGTTATGCATGCACGATCTGGTGGAACATTGGAGGTAATGGGCCTTTTACTTGGTAAAGTAGCAGCCAACACGATGATTGTAATGGATTCCTTTGCATTGCCAGTCGAGGGTACAGAAACTAGAGTGAATGCTCAAGCTCAAGCTTACGAGTACATGACAGCTTACATAGAAGCAGCTAAACAAGTATGTATATAACTTTTTGTAATAAAAAAAAATTTTTTTTAAATTTGAAAATAGATCTATAGTCTGTATAATAATTTATCATTCAGGTCGGTAGGCAAGAAAATGCGATTGGTTGGTATCATAGTCATCCTGGATATGGATGCTGGTTGTCTGGTATCGATGTATCCACCCAGATGCTCAATCAAAATTTTCAAGAACCATTCGTCGCCATTGTCATTGATCCCGTGAGAACTATTTCCGCAGGCAAGGTTTGCCTGGGCGCATTCAGAACTTATCCAAAGGTACATATAAAGCTTTAATGTTTCAAAATTAGAATCAGCAATCCATCCTTCTAAAGGAAGAAGATTAAAGATGCTCTATCTCGTTTCTAGAACTATTCGAGTTCATGTGTTCTTTACAGCGTGAAAGCACTATAAATTATTTTATCAATCGCGTGTGTATTTGTGCAGGGATATAAACCCGCAAACGAGGAGCCGTCAGAATATCAGACAATACCGCTGAACAAGATCGAAGACTTTGGTGTTCATTGCAAGCAATACTATTCTTTGGAAGTATCCTATTTCAAGTCCTCTCTGGATAGACGACTACTCGATTCATTATGGAATAAGTATTGGGTGAACACTCTGAGTTCTTCCAGCCTACTGACAAATGCGGACTATACCACTGGACAGATATTCGACTTGTCGGATAAATTAGAACAATCGGAGTCGGCTTTGGGTAGAGGATTCGTCCTCGGCGGCACGGATCCACACGATCGTAGCACAGTAGAAAAACTCATAAAGGCGACTAGGGACAGTTGTAAGACCACCATCGAAGTTATTCACGGTTTAATGGCACAAATAATTAAGGACCGATTATTTAATCATGTTGGCAGTAATGCAACTTGTGATCCTCAGCAGAAGCAATAAGGTGTATTCTGTGTGTGATAATCTGCTAGAGGATATGTATTTGTAATAAAGATATGTACCCTCCTTTATAATCGAAATTTTTTGAACAATTACTTCACAAAATATTCGATTAAGACTTCTTGGCTCCTAGAATTGTCTCTTCTTGAAAAATTGATAAAATTAAGATACAGTGATGATATTAGTATTGAATATTTTCCTTTATGAAAATATGCTTCAAGTGCATGAATGTATCGGATGTCAGAAACATAATGGAATAAAAATACATTTTATTTTCACACCTTGATTCGCTAGAAAGTATATATACAGCATTTTTATCATTAATCAATATCCTCGTGTATGTATATATATATTATATATAATATAAATATATATGTTATATATATTTATATAACTAATATATAATATATTCAGAACAAGTAGGCAGAGCAAAACCCCCACTGAAGGGCTGACGCACTGTGTCACAGACTTTAAGGACAAGGCCACTCAGAAACGCACACCCACCTGTTCTATTTTATATACTCCTATACCTTCCGCGCACTCGCATCTCTCATAACATATAAGGGACGGAGCTAAATGCATATAGTTATATAAATCAATCAATCGTAAACTTAATCGAGAAGTTATACAAAAGATATCCCAGTTGAAAAATCAAAAGATATACGCGATCGAAAAGAAAAGTGCCAGAACGACGTTCTTAATAAGAGATGAATCTTTGTGATATATACATACACATCTACACTTACATAGTATTACGCGCTATAGTGTTTTGTCACATCTCGGAGCGAATTAAATAATTAAGTACAACAGCGTGTTTTAACCTAATTCGTAGGAAAGTCTAGAGAAAATAGATATCTGGAAATCTGGCCTGCCACTCTATTGCTCCCGACGAACTATATATTCTTCTGTCTAAATTGTATATACCTATTATAGAGAACCCACATACATATTTGTCGCTCATCATACGCGTGAAAATTCGACAAAGTAAGTATAAAATCGTACGAACATTATATTAAATGAGCGAGTTTTTTATCCGTACACTTCTTTTTTTCCTCTTTTCGACACATATATCATATGTACAAGCGATATCTATGATGTTGTAAATAATTCGAAGTGAGTCGAGTAAAATTAGAATTCACAAAATTAAATGGTAAAAACCAATAGAGACATAAGTATACATCGTTATATTTGGCTGTTAATTTTGTTAGTGTTTATACTGCAAAAAATACTTAAAAAACAAACTATTGTCAAGATATATATATATATATATATGTATAATTCTTCTTCGACTTTATATTCTGACTTTCTTAGACTACAGTTTACAGATGTGAGCAAAATCAATCCCGAAACATCAGCTTTTATTTTCTATTTTGTAATAATTTTTCAGCCAAGATATAATCCCCAAAACTTTATAATTTCTCTCGCGTTTATATCATAATTTTCATTAGAATTAATTTAATAGAATTATATAAAATGCACTGAAACACTGATAGAAATACTTCGTGAGAATTAATATTATTCGAACATGATAAAGAGGATTAATTGGTCGATAAATCCCGATCTTCCATGATTGGATGTAACATACATACGCGAGACACATAACATGACAATCAGAATTCAGCCCTCCAATGTTACTCTGTATTCTGAATATGAATTTGAAATTGTAATCGCGTTACACACGTAACACACTCGTGCATTATGGGCGTCATATGTATGTGTTCAGTAGCATGTGTGTACATGTATATGTGTGTATGCACCATTTCCCTCGGCCCTCCAAATGATATTTCTCGAAGACGAAAACATGGATATTATCGTATTCGTTATTGAGTTAATAGCTCTATTGTGTACACATATTATAAAGAATCCCGTTTCGCGCTTTTTTTTCTTATTTCCCCATCACATAAAAGAATTTCTTTGTTTCTTTATATGTCACCGCGATTATATTTACAAAATTGCGCGAGTCTCATTCGCAATGTCTTACTTATAAATGTAGCAGTAGAAAAGATTGATTTGTTACAGTGAAAGTTAAGTTTAAGTTTCTCCTTGTTTCTTTTTGGGACAACAGCACTTTCGGTGACGAAACTTCCTCTGAACCTATCTACTTATCTATCTCTTCCTCCCTCCCTTCCTCTCCCTCTGTTTCACTTTTCGTTTCTTGGCGTGTGATGCATCTGATGTGTGTGTCTATTGTGTGTTTTTTCTTTTACTCACTTTCCTATATTTCCGTTTTCTAACTCATTTAGTTTATGTAAGAAATTACGTGCTAAATTAGTAGCCGTAAAACAGCGGGAATGCAAACAATCGGAGCACAATATTTTTCTCAACTCTCTCCGCATCTGTTTCGGTTAGAAAAAATATTTACATCTTTTGTTTTTCCTTTTTTCATACACTTTTGCGGCATGTTGCGAGAGTAAAATACTTTTACGTTCGCTCGTTGTAACAAAGCGGAAACGATAATGATATACATAACATAATTTTGAAAGACTTTAAATGTTAGCATCACATTATTCGCGACTGGAAATTTATCGGAACTCGACCGAGCACAAATTCGTGATTATTTTAATATATATGCGGCAAGAAAATTAATACTTTTCAAAACATTTTTCGTTGCGAATGAACACATCGTACAATCGCATACGAAATTAAAAAATGTATTTTTAATAAATCCAAAGTTTAGGTCATGTCTTATTCATGCCGCATAAGCAAAAGTTTAGTTGTTGAATTGTGTTGTTATGTATTAGATATATCCATTTGCTAACTTGTACGTTTTCGCTGTTTCTAACGAAGATGAAACTTGTGTTCCTTTTTTTTCTTCCCAGTCTGTCTTCAAGAATCGATTAATTACTTTTAGGCAGGCATATGTACAAATGTTGTTTGTATTATATCTTGTCACTGTGATGTCGAAGCTGGAAAGTTATTAACTTCTGTCTGTTCCAAAACTGGCCCAGTTGGACCTGTATACGATATACGCAGTCTCATCCTTAGCACTGCCTAAAGAATACAAAAGAAATAGTTGATTAGAAATTAAAAACTCAAAAGAATTTTTTTAGGGTAATAAGTATTGGCAACTGACCCTATTCATATTTGTGATTCTCAACACTTGAGTTACTTGACCATACGGTGGAATGACAGTACCCGATGGCGATAGCATTTGTAGTTGGAATGTCTAAAAGTGGAAAAAGTCAAGCAAATACATTAAACTTTTTTACATATGATAAATAATCGTATACATATATGTAAATTCATATAGATCATGTCTAACCCTAGGAACTGCTGCTTGAAACAGAAAATCAGTTAAAACCGTGCTTCCAGAATTCTGAGCTGACATATTTATAACTAGCAGATCGGGGATATCCGGCAGTCTCTCTAATTTGAATGTTATCTTGAGCCCCGATTTGTCCAAAACAACTATACTAGGTAGTTCTACAATAAGAATCATGATTATAACAATTTACGATGCAAAATAAATTCACGATATTCTTTTAGAATTCCATGACAAACCATTTTGAACTGAGGAAGTACTGAGCAATCCATCCACTAAGAAGTTACTGGTGTTGGTGGGACTAAACATCGGTGGGGATGATGCCTGCGGTTGTAACGGTAGCGTAGGAGTGACGGTAGACGTAGGCGTATTCAAATCCAAACTTCCGAGCAAGTCCAACAGATCGTTATTATGCGCTACCGCGGTCGGACTAGGCAAAGCATTTTTATTGATGATCGTTGCCGCCGGCATCGTCACTCCTACATCCGTAGTTCCAAGTAAATCTAGAAGTGCACTCTGCAAAATTGCAAAAAAAGAAACGAAATGTTGGCGACACAATTCAATACACACAATTCTCGGTACATTTTTCATTATTTAAATTTGGTTTTCTGCCAAATGCATCTTTAATATTGTTAGAAATTTTGTATATTATACATTATTATTTTTTTAGTTTTTTCACATATATATCGAAAACAATAAAGAGAATATAATTGAGAATATTGAGAATATTGGATATTAAATATAAATAATTATATATATATATATATATATATATATATATGTATTTTTCTCAACTCTCTCCGCATCTGTTTCGGTTAGAAAAAATATTTACATCTTTTGTTTTTCCTTTTTTCATACACTTTTGCGGCATGTTGCGAGAGTAAAATACTTTTACGTTCGCTCGTTGTAACAAAGCGGAAACGATAATGATATACATAACATAATTTTGAAAGACTTTAAATGTTAGCATCACATTATTCGCGACTGGAAATTTATCGGAACTCGACCGAGCACAAATTCGTGATTATTTTAATATATATGCGGCAAGAAAATTAATACTTTTCAAAACATTTTTCGTTGCGAATGAACACATCGTACAATCGCATACGAAATTAAAAAATGTATTTTTAATAAATCCAAAGTTTAGGTCATGTCTTATTCATGCCGCATAAGCAAAAGTTTAGTTGTTGAATTGTGTTGTTATGTATTAGATATATCCATTTGCTAACTTGTACGTTTTCGCTGTTTCTAACGAAGATGAAACTTGTGTTCCTTTTTTTTCTTCCCAGTCTGTCTTCAAGAATCGATTAATTACTTTTAGGCAGGCATATGTACAAATGTTGTTTGTATTATATCTTGTCACTGTGATGTCGAAGCTGGAAAGTTATTAACTTCTGTCTGTTCCAAAACTGGCCCAGTTGGACCTGTATACGATATACGCAGTCTCATCCTTAGCACTGCCTAAAGAATACAAAAGAAATAGTTGATTAGAAATTAAAAACTCAAAAGAATTTTTTTAGGGTAATAAGTATTGGCAACTGACCCTATTCATATTTGTGATTCTCAACACTTGAGTTACTTGACCATACGGTGGAATGACAGTACCCGATGGCGATAGCATTTGTAGTTGGAATGTCTAAAAGTGGAAAAAGTCAAGCAAATACATTAAACTTTTTTACATATGATAAATAATCGTATACATATATGTAAATTCATATAGATCATGTCTAACCCTAGGAACTGCTGCTTGAAACAGAAAATCAGTTAAAACCGTGCTTCCAGAATTCTGAGCTGACATATTTATAACTAGCAGATCGGGGATATCCGGCAGTCTCTCTAATTTGAATGTTATCTTGAGCCCCGATTTGTCCAAAACAACTATACTAGGTAGTTCTACAATAAGAATCATGATTATAACAATTTACGATGCAAAATAAATTCACGATATTCTTTTAGAATTCCATGACAAACCATTTTGAACTGAGGAAGTACTGAGCAATCCATCCACTAAGAAGTTACTGGTGTTGGTGGGACTAAACATCGGTGGGGATGATGCCTGCGGTTGTAACGGTAGCGTAGGAGTGACGGTAGACGTAGGCGTATTCAAATCCAAACTTCCGAGCAAGTCCAACAGATCGTTATTATGCGCTACCGCGGTCGGACTAGGCAAAGCATTTTTATTGGTGATCGTTGCCGCCGGCATCGTCACTCCTACATCCGTAGTTCCAAGTAAATCTAGAAGTGCACTCTGCAAAATTGCAAAAAAAGAAACGAAATGTTGGCGACACAATTCAATACACACAATTCTCGGTACATTTTTCATTATTTAAATTTGGTTTTCTGCCAAATGCATCTTTAATATTGTTAGAAATTTTGTATATTATACATTATTATTTTTTTAGTTTTTTCACATATATATCGAAAACAATAAAGAGAATATAATTGAGAATATTGAGAATATTGGATATTAAATATAAATAATTATATATATATATATATATATATATATATATGTGTGAAATGGAACAATTCGGAGGGAATTGTTCTAGAAGTAGAGGGGGAAGATTTTCCTTCAGGGCCTGGCAGCTAAGTATGAATGCCAATCATGATATTACACCAGG